CCCCAAATCCAGAGGCTCATCCCGCCCCCAACTAAAAACAAACGAACAAACAAACCCACAAAACCAAAACCAAGAACTCTGTACTTCCTTTAACATCAAAGGGGAAAACGTGACGGCGTGAAGACCCAACACCCGCGGGTACCCGGACGCCAGAAGGGAGGGGGTTGGGGCCGGAGCGGGCCGCCCCCCAGCGTGCGCACGCCGCCCCGCCCCCAGCCGCCGCCCCGCCCGCTCGCGGCCGCGCGCAACAGGCCCAGCAGGGTGAGTGCCGCGGTGTCCGCCCGCAGCCCCGCGCCGCCGGGGGGGCGGGGTCGTGCGCGTCCTTTCGGCACCCGATCGCTGGTGCGCGGGGGGCCCCGGCGGGTGACCCGAGAGCCCAGTCCTCGGGACCCTCAGAGCAGGCGGGGCGGCCTGGCGGGCGCTGGTGCTTTCGGGACCGGGGACGCGCGCCGACGCGGTCCCTGATTCCGGGGACCGGGGCAGGGAGGACACGCCGGGTCAGCTGCTGCCCGAATGCCGGAGTAGGGTCACGAATGGCCTGGGCACCGAGAGTGGCCCACGTGGGCCGCCGGTGGTCTGGAGCCTGGGACGAGCGCGCGGAAAGTTTGGAGGCTCGGCCGGGAGGGTGACGCCCGCCGGGAAGCGCGGCCTCCACGTGGGCTGTGCTGCTGGCGTCAGGTCGGGCCTAAGAGACAGGCTTTAGAGCTGGGAGCCCGGCTGCCCGGGCCGCGGGGCGTGGGAGCCGCGGCTGTCTTGTGCCAGCCTGACTTTAAAATTACAGTCCCCGCTGCCAGTTCACTCAGCAAGTGTTACTAGTCGGCAGCCCGACTGTGGGTTGTCCAACAGGTTAGCGAGGCCGGGTTGTTGACGGAGTGTTCAGGAAGCAGGGGCCTGGGAGTCCCCTGATTTCGCTGTAAATTCGGCGCCAGGCCGTTGATTGCATTGGACTCGCGTTTAAATGGAGGAGCCTGACCTACCCAGCCTCTGCCACCGTCGCTTGGATGGTTTTTGCTTCTCTGGCCTCATGCTTTGTAACATTGTGCTCACCGTAAGACAAGAATGTGTTAAAATCTATTTTCTTTTTACAATAGAACGAAACGGATAACTGCCAATCACAGCGTTAGGTCAGCAGGAGAATCAGTTTTCCCTCCGGATGAACATTTCTGTTATGCAGAAAAGGAATATTTTAGGTCAGGGGCTGCCGGGTAGCTCAGTGGGTTAACTCGATTTCGGCTCAGGTTATGAGCTCAGGGTTAGTGGGTTCAGCCCTCCCCCCCCATCGGGCTTCGTGCTGACTATGGAGCCGGCTCGGGATTCTCTCTCTTTCCCTCCCTCCCTCTCTAAATAAATAAATATATGTTTAAACATAAAAAACATTTTAGATCAGCTGAGGCAACCGAGTTACAGGTAATATTTCTGTCAGGTGTTATGTGTTTAATTGAGCAGAATTTGACTATCATCCTCTATGTTAATGGATCTAAAATTCCTGTGGAGACTTTACTGTGTTAAGGTAGATTTTTAGGACTCAGCACAAGAAGCGCTAATCCAGTAGGCGTGATGTGGGGCCTAGAAATTTGCAGGTGACCAAGCGTTCCTGGTGACTACACTGTAGAACACCGCTCTGAAGATGGTAGAGACGCATCTCCCTCCGGTTGGTAATAACCACTGAGGGCTAATTTGCCTTTCAGCTCTGACTGTGCGGGTGAATACCCCGGCTACAGCTGCCGTCAGAATTACCCCCGCTGAATAATCTGTCTGTTTTCCTCCCAGCTCTGTTTTGTGTAAGGCTTTTGAGGATTTTTCTCAAAAATTATATACGGATGATGAAAAAGGAGGATAATTCATTCAGCAAACATTTCTTGGGGACCTATGTGCCCCATTCTGTGCTAGGCCTCTGGGACTGTGCAGAGAGCTGTTCCCCCAAAGACTTCTTGTCAGTGAATATTACTACGGAAGAGAAGGTAGAACACTTAAAGATATAAAGGCTCTGTTTATATTTATTGGCTATAGAATGGATATCAATAGGGATTTTATTGCAGAGTTTTAATCCTTCAAAGTTGTTTAGATCAGTTGGTGTTTGTTTTTTTAAATCTGTGGGCAGCTAGTAAAATATGAACCGTGACTCTTTTGACTTAATCTTTTTATACTTTAATGCTTATAGTCAACTCAGATTGGAAACCTTTGTTTTTTAAAAAATTGAAATATAATTGATATATAACCTATTAGTTCCAGGTGTATACCATGATTTGCTATTTCTATAAATTGTTAAATTTTTTTAATGTTTATTTATTTTTTTAACATTTATTTATTTTTGAGAGACAGAGCATGAGCAGGAGAGCGGCAGAGAGAGAGGGAGACACAGAATTTGAAGCAGGCTCCAGGCTCTGAGCTGTTAGCACAGAGCCTGACGCGGGGCTGGAACCCCCAGACCGTGAGATCATGACCTGAGCCGAAGTCGTACACTCATCAGAGTGAGCCACCCTGGCGCCTCTAAGGTTTATTTATTTTTGAGAGGGAAGGAGAGAGAGACACACACACACAGAATTCAAAGTAGGCTCCAGGCTATTAACTGTCAGCACAGAGCTGGACACAGGGCTCCAACCCATGTACCGTGCACCGTGAGATCATGACCTGAGCCGAAATGGGACACTTGACCCACTGAGACACCCAGGCCAGTGCTTTTTTAAAAGCCACCAGTTCTTTTTTTAAAGCCTGCTTTTTTTCCCTGTAGCTTTATAAAAATATTTAACTTCTGTTTGGGTGGTCTGTGAGGTTTCTGGGCAGGACCTTATTGGCTTTACTTTTTTAGAGAAAGGTTTTTCTTGTTTCATTACTATATTTCTTAGATACTTAAAATAATTTCATATTTATTTATATTTGAGAGAGAGAGAGACCGAGATGGAATCTGAAGCAGGCTCTAGGCTCTGAGCTGTGAGCACAGACTCTGATGTAGGGCTCGAACTCAGGAGCTGTGAGATCATGACCTGAGCTGAAGTCTGATGCTCAGCCAGCTGAACTACCCAGGTGCCCCTATATTTCTTAGATTCTAAAAGATTCACTTTTTTACTTTTTCTGAAATTGTGATGCATGGTAAGATTTTTACATGTGTAAAGTGATAGGGTATGTCATCTGTTCTCCCTTCCACCCCCCAAAGCTGTTAAAAAGAATGGTGTCTTAACAATATGGGTAGTGTGAGAATCAGAAATTGTTTGTTTGCCCAGTAATCTTTAAGCCAGGTTCCAATGAACTGAACCTTAAATCATTTCAATATGAATGTAGAGAGACAAGAAATGATGCAACTTTTGGCAGTATAAATAGTGAAATTTATATTCTAACAAAACCGTTTGTTATGCAGTGCTGGGTTTATTGTGTTAGTGATTATAGATGGGAAAAATGCTTTAAGTGATTTTATTTTTGGCTTCAGTATTTTGTGCACTTTGTTAAACCACACTTCCTGGTGAATGTGCTTATACTGTAGTCATAAATTGTGCTTAAAGAAAAGCCTTTCAGCAGCATCTTCCTGCTGTCCATCCACATCCCCTAAATAAATTTTAAACTGACCAGTTGTGAGAGATAAGAGATGTGTGGCTGAATATGAAATTACATTTTCATTATAGGGTACCTTAATGGTAACAAACCTTCTGAACCAATTTAACACTTTTTTTTAAAAACGTTTTATTTATTTCTGAGAGAGAGAGAGAGACAGCATGCGCAGGCGAGGATAAGAGAGAGGGAGGCACAGAATCTGAAACAGGCTTCAGGCTCTGAGCTGGCTGTCAGCACAGAGCCCGACGCGGGGCTTGAACCCATGAACCGTGAGATCATGACCTGAGCCGAAGTCGGACGCATAATCGCTTAACCGCCTGAGCCACCCAGGTGCCTCTAACACTTTTTTTAAATGTTTATTTTCGAGAGAGCGAGTGCCAGCAGGGGAGGGGCAGAGAGTGGGGGGAAAAGAGGATCTGAAGCAGGCTCCATGCTGACAGCACAGAGCTACATGCAGGATTTGAAGTCACAGTCAGATCATGACCTGAGTTGATGTCAGATGCTTAGCCAACTGAGCCACCCAGGTGCCCCCAACTTAACACTTTAAAAATAGCAAGCAGTGTATCGGGGTCTCTAAGACCATCCTTAGGTTCAGTGATTTACTGGGACTCACAGCTGGTATATTATAGCAAAAGACCAGGTACTTAATTGTCCCAGCAAATAGTTGTGACAACACGTGTGCCATGTTGCCAGCCAGAGAAGCCCATCAGACAGTCAGAACTCAGGGTTTTTACTGGGCTGACCACATCGACACCCTCTGCCTGGCACCTACCAAAGTTCCAGACTCCCAGAAGGAAGACGGGTGTTCATTATAAACCACATTGCACAACAGTTTAGGCACAGTGAGTCACTCTTATCAGTTAAAGATGGTGGGAATGCTTCTGAAATCTGACTTCTCAGACAGTAGCCATACTCGGATCCTTCAAAGGATAGCTGGTAACTTCTGCACGAGCCGTGCTCTTTACTGACTGTGTCTTCGTGTCTCCTGTGTTTCTTCCTCACATCTGGGTTCCAAGTACGAGCAGTACTTTGTTTCGTGGAAGCCTTGATTCTTTAGTTGAGAAATCAAACTGGTCTGGGAAACTTAAAAAGCATGGGTAACATTTTCAGAAAATATGTCTCATTGATGACATAGCCAACACCAACGTTTGTTTTTTTGGTAAAGCGTTAGTCCTCGAATGCAAGCTTTTAGTGTCAATTTGTATTTGTTTTTTACTTCCGTCCTGTGTGTCGTACCAAAGGCACTTGATCTGAGCTGTTTGTCGGTACAAAGTTTAGCAGCTGAAATGAGGGCGCTGGAGTTGAAAATGTTGATGTTTCCACTTCCTAAATTGTTCAGTGTATATTTGGGTTGCGTTCCAAAGGTTCATTTATAAATTAACTTCTGCGGTGTGTAACACAGTGTTCCAGATCCTTACTTGCCAGGCCAGATCACTAATTCCACTTAATCTACAGTGTAGCTGAAATACAGCTTAGTTACAATAACAAAAGGGCAGAAAACAATAAATTCGGCCGGTCCGACAAAACAGAAAACCCTAATATCTATGAATAAGTTACTGGTCTCTGGGAAAAACTGTTCTTTATAAGTGCAGTGGTTCTTAGCCATTAAGAATCTGGTGAGAGCAGTGTGCCCCCACCCAAATATATATTTATATATAGAAATAGAGATGTAGACACACACTTTGAAATAGGATCTTGCAGTTTCTGAAAATTCATGTAATTTGAAATACCATTCTTGAACCCCAGGTGAGGGACACCTACATTATTATAAGTGTGATGGTACTTGTGGTTTGGGGACAGTTCTGAGAGAGGCGTGGTAGTGCTTGGGATTGTCACTCCTCAGATGTGGTGCATGGACCAACTAAAGCCTCGTTACCTGGGAGCTTGTTAGAAATGCAGAAGGCATTTCTAGAACACATCATCTGGGTGATGGTGGTATTGTGTCTTATTTTAATTTAAAAGTTAAAGCTTTCAAAACATGGGGTATAACTGTCTTTAGCCTTTACTTTGCAGTCTTCAACTCGTTTGTTTTTTTTTAATGGAGGTGGAGTTTCTGATAAAGTAGCAGTTTTCAGGAAAAAGCTGGGAATCAAGAGTGATAAGGTTCACCTGGTGAGGAAGACTTGGGAGCAGGCAGCTTCTTGCTCCAGCCACCAGGTGACACCACTGGCCCAGGGCACCTTGGCTGCCTTCCTAACAGGTGGGGGTGGTGCTATGGTAAGGAGCACCTGGCTGTGAGCCCCTGTTGTAGTTCTCTGAGGCAAGTGCCTGTAACTCAAGAGTACATCTAATTAGATTTGGGACCTGGTGCTGATTGAAGCCAAATTCAGGATTTTAGACTGCTGTGTCAACAGCCACAGGCTAAAACCGTGACTAGGAACTGCTGAGGTGGCTGAACTATTTAATTTCAGATCCTTATATTCCCTAATAAACAACGACTTTCATGACTTAGTGCTTATACACAAGAAAAACATGCTTTCCTTTAGATGAATATGTAATCTGAGTGGTGTTTGAGGCTGGATCCTCTCTTGGAAGATGTGGTGTTGGATTAAGTCTGTGTCCCGTCCTAGAGGAAAGGGCTTTCACTTCCAAGTTCTCAGGAAGGTGGCGTGGCCACACAAGTTGTATGTGCGCGATCTGCTAACATGAACACCAGCCCTCCCAGTGAACCTAACCATGTGTGCTTTGTTCTCTGGTAGGTGCATCTCCTCACTGCCTTGTATTGAAGACAGAACGATGCCGAAGAAAGCAAAGCCCACAGAGAATGGGAAGGAAGAGGGGTCAGTTCCCTGTAAGCAAGTGAAGTTAGAGGCAGCTGGAGAACCCTCCTCCACTTTAAATTTTGAAAGCCCCAGTGATCTCTTTGAAAGTTTAATCTCGCCCATCAAGACAGATATTTTTTTCAGGGAATTCTGGGAGAAGAAGCCTCTTCTCATTCAGAGAGATGACCCTGCAGTGGCCACATATTACCGGTCCCTGTTCAGGCTGTCAGATCTGAAGAGTCTATGCAGCCGGGGTATGTACTATGGAAGAGACATTAATGTCTGCCGATGTGTCAATGGGAAGAAGAAGGTTTTAAATAAAGATGGCAAAGCACACTTTCTTCAGCTGAGAAAAGATTTTGATCAGAAAAGGGCAACAATTCAGTTTCATCAACCTCAGAGATTTAAGGTAACAGGTTCTCCCCATTATGGAATCATTAGATGTATTAAAGTGCTAACATTTGGCCACAGATCAGCTCAGGGATGAGCTTGTGATGAACCTGCCAGTCTGAGAAGAGGTGTCTCATGTTTGCTCTTTAAATGCATTCCAAATTAGGAGACCCTGTGCTATTTTTCGGCTAAACTAGTGAATCGCCCTACAACTCAGGTGGACGTGATTAGGTGTCATCACACTGCAAAAACTATATTGCAAATTTATAAATTAACATTACACTTCCAGGAGTATATTCTTTGGGTTGGTTTATGTTTTGGTATATAGTAGACATTTCTATTTGGTTTGTCCTGTCATTATAATTTTAGGCATGATAGCGTCAAGGTGATCATATCAAGGTGATCATTTTCTTCTTGAAGTTACTTCCTTTTACTGCTGACATCTAGCTAAGTAGAAACTTCAGAGCTGTGACCAGATCAACTACCAGATGCATGTTCAAGAAGGAGGCTTTCCCCTTATTAACAGCCACTCAGGTGGCATTGGGGAGCTGGGTCCTAGAACTGTTCCTGGGGAGACAGTCATAGGTGGAGGGTAGCTGTGATTTGCAAGTCTGGAAGACTGGCTAATTTTTTTATTCTGTATCAGTGATTAACATCCGAGAAATAATTGGCCTCCTCTCTGCTCAGTTTCTGCTTTATAAAATGCAGTTATAGCTTATCTGCTTTTGTAGAGGTTTGGGATCTTTACATGAACAAGTAGCCCAGAAGGATTGAGGGCGTATTCTGAGTTCAGAAGTCCTGTTTCGTGACCCATGGCTGAACCAAAATGGCAGCATGGGAGGAGCAGGAGAGTGGTTCCCGAGGATCCCTGTTGAGGATTCTGGCTGTGATGGGATGAGGATCCTGGGACTTTGTCATCAGTCACCAGTAATGTTTCTGATGACTGAACTCATTTGCTTTGTTAGAGCCCATTGGCCAAATCTAGTGAATATGTTTTCCTCTCTTAGGAGGATCAAGGATCCTGAACCTGTTTGTGTCTAGAAAAAGTATAAGTACTCTTAGATGTTTCAGTACAAGTCCTCATTCCAGGTATGCCATCTCCTGCAATCATAAGAAGTTGAAGTGTCTCTGGGTTGCCAGCCTTTTGACCTAAACACCCAAAAAGAATTTATAGATCACTTGCCAGACCAAGTCATGATTTGCATTCAGGAAATGTGGACACCAGTATGCTTCTCTCTCAGTGAGTCCTTGACTCTTATCTTGGTTAGAAGCAACACTTCTTAAAAAGTGGGTTTTAGATACCTAATAACTATGAACATAAAAGGCCAGTGAAGTTGATTACATGTGATCTGGTCACAAACCAGTACAAAGTTATAATTTGACATAAGTATGGTGTCCTTATTGGCTGTCATAATTTCTTCAGCTCTCCTCTGCTCATCCTTTAGGTCCTGTACATTTCTCCTCTCTGATTCCAGGTGGCCAAACACTTGTATTTGCTTTGCCCTGTTGACTCTGCTCTTTGGCCAGGTTTATGGAAGTCGGAAGGATGAGCTTTCTCAGTCTAAATTCAGCCCCCAGGCTACACTGGGTTACACCCTGCTTTTTCTCTTTCTACCACTTGAGAGACCTATAGGAGCTGTAGGAGTTCACCCTCTTATAGTAGAGTCTGGGTTCTAAATATTTTATGAGGAGGATTAGTGTTATGTTTATATTTAGCAGTGTGCATATTAATATCAGGATAGACAAAGTCTAGAGGTGGTTCATCACTGGCTACGTTGAGAGACTGTGGAGTGAACTGTCAGTGCCTTGTTTATTGGGTCTCAGAATGTGCACAACTTATAATTCTACTTGATCTGGAAGTGAATAAGGAGGAATCAGAAAGCCATTAATTTGTTCCCCCCCACCCCCTCTTTGTGTAAGGTCTGGGTGAATTTACCAAATACATGTATTCTCTTGAGCCTTCTAACAGACACTTTAAATGGGGCATTCATTATGCTCTCCATCTTACGTGCGAAAAAAACGAGTTCAGAGATGTGACTTTTTCTAAGCTAAGTAAGGACTTCCAACTCCAAATGTGCAGCAGTTTCATACTGTACTTTTAAAGATGTTATTTGAAATGTAGTAGGGCTTTGGCATGGGTGTTTTTGCCTTTCTTTAGGTGTACCCGTGGGCTTCTGGTCTTAGCAAGTGCATTCAGTTTTGATTCTGTGAGTAGGTCCGTGGAGAGAGGAGGTTGTAGGCAGCCAGGGGTGAGGCTGCCACCTTCCTTTTTTGCTGCTCTGTGATCCTCCTAGGCATCTCCTGATGACATAGTTGCAAGTCCTGAATTAAAACTGGACTTCTTGTGCCTAAGTCAGTGTTGGTGAGGCAGTAACACTTGTTTACGCTTTGCAACATAAATAAGTTTGCAGGTGAGTTGTTTTATGTGTTCCCCAACAACTTTGGGGCAAGGGGGTCGAGTCCTCGTTTTACAACTAAAGAAGCTAAAGTCATTTAGTTTGTAACTACAACTTGGGTTGAGGTGCTTTGTCCTTGTATCTCTTTCTACTAGGCTGTTCTTGGCAGATTCAGAAGCTAAAGGTCCAGGAGAAATGGGAAAATTGTGCAATTGATAGGATTTTTGTAACCTTTAACAAGAAAGGAGACATATACGTATCAATTTCAGACCCAGATGCTTGAGCTGGGGACCAAAAAGTCACTCACATGGTCCTGAGATCCCTCTCAAGCCATCAGAAAGAGATACCTTGGTTTTTCTAATGGTTCTAGTCCCTGTATAAATGTAATTACAGAGCCAGGTCCTGCTGGCCCCTCCCTGGTATAACTTAGGCTTCTTGGGAGCTCTTTTAACTCTTTGGAGCTATGCAGAAGCCATTAAATTATTCTTCCTCTGTTAAGTAGAACCCTTGAGATCTATAAATAGAGTAGCCCAGTAGTCTTTATAAAGATGTCTCCCAAAGCTTTTTTCATACTGACCTAATTCTTTCCCACTTGATACTTTTAATACTGTAGGTCCTTTTTCAGTCAAATTGTAGGATTGACTCCTAAGCTGTGGTCATTGGTTTACTCATCAGATTTTTTTAAAATGCATTTTAGTGGGGCAGCTGGTTAAATGTCTGACCCTTGGTTTCGGCTCAGGTCATGATTTTATGGTTTGTGAGTTTAAGCCCCACATGGGGCTCTGTGCTGCCGCTGGCGGAGTGGAGCCTGCTTGGGACTGTCCCTCTGCCCCTCACCTGATTGTGGGTTCACACTCTCTCTCAAAAATAAATAAATAACATTTTAGTGTCTTTTGTGTGTCAGGCACTGTACATTCATATACTTGAGACTTGGAGTCTTGAATGTTCATTCAAGTCCTACTAGGTGACTTGTGTTTTCTTTAAGATCATTCCAAAAGAGGCACTACAGAGCCATGGGTAAAGTGCTCAAGCCAGGCTGCCTGGATTTAAATCCTGGCCACGTTGTCTATTAGCTGTGTGTTCTCATGCTTCGATTTCCTCATCTGTAAACAGGGCATGATGATAGTGCTCACCTTGTGAGACAGGGTTGTTGGGGACTTATGTAACCAGTATATATAAAACACTTAGAAACAGGGCTTGGCGTAGAAGAAGCGCTAATATCCAAGTGGCCTAATTGCTACCTCCCTTCTCATCTGCTTGGGAAAATTAGGATTCATATTTTCTCTCTCTCTGTCTCTCTCTCTGGAACCAATGTAGAACTCTCCCTGCACACATTTCCCCCTCGCCCCTGCAAGAAAACTTTTCTGACCAATCTTTCCCATTTCAGTAAGTGGAACCAGGCACTGATTGCCCATCTGAAGCCAGGAGGGTTTGAGTAGCTTCCCCTTCTGCCAGCCCACTGTGCTCGGTGCCTCTCAGGCTCTGCTGGTGTTGCTTCCAGGGGGCATCACCTCTCTCTGCTTCTCCCCCACCACCCTGGTCATCTCTGGTCTGGGCCACTGCCCTGGTAGCTTCCAGACTGATCTCTCTCGCTTTTCTCCAGGCCATTCTCGGCACAATAACCAGAGTGAGCTTTTAAAAATGTAGATTAGATCATGTCATTGACCTCCTTAAACTCCTGCATGACTCCTGATTACCTGCTTTGCCAGTTTTCTCGTTTCTCTGTGGTGGTCTGCACCAGGATGGAAGGTTCTCCAGGGCACAGGCCTCGGCTCTGTCACTGCTGAGTTCTCGGATATGCGGAACATAATAGCTGCATGATGAAGACTTGCTAAGTTAATAAGAACATGTCCTTTTCCTCATTTCCAATATGCTTTTCACCACTTCTCCCATCTTCCTTTCATTTTCTTAAGGATGAACTTTGGAGGATCCAGGAGAAGCTAGAATGCTACTTTGGCTCCTTGGTTGGCTCGAATGTGTACATAACCCCTGCAGGATCGCAGGGCCTCCCACCCCATTATGATGATGTTGAGGTAAGTGGAAGAAAATTGTTCACTCGGGAAAGGAGTCACTGTGGGCCTGGCTTAGCTGTCAGGGTTCAGTTCAGCTCTCTGCCCTTTCTTGCTGTGTGGCCTCAGGATCCTGACCTCCCCTCCGTGTTGAGCCAGATTAATCTCACCACACTGGTTTCCTGCTCATTCTCAAACAGGAGAGATGGTTTTCAGCCTTACTGCTAGAAAGAGCTACACATTCCTACAAAACAGGTATTTATTGAGTCTGTCCACAGAAAAGCATGATTGGCTTTTTCTCTAATTGCACAACATAAGGGTTTTAATAAAGTGAGGTCACAAGTAATCTTTACATCTGCTTTCATTTTGTCCTTTTTCTGGAGCTGCCAGAAATAGATAATCTTTTCCATTTGTGAAAATCTTGGGGTAGCTTGAATGAAGGTCATGGTTTCACTTAAGCACTGGCACCTTGACAAGTGTTGATTCACTCTCACGTGGCTGCCAAACAAGTTAGCTCTTTGGCTTGGGCATTTCGTAGTTTTATTTTCATACCAATACAGGGTTATGAACACAGAGTTATCAGTAAAAAAAAAAAAAAGTCCCCTTTTTCCTCCTCTGAAGGCAATTTGACAGCAATACATTTCCCCGAAGTTTTTGTTTTTGTTTGTTTTTAATATTTTAAACAGCGCTTTAAGATATCTTTGGCTGAATGAAGAATAAAAAACTTGAAGTTTTCCTATCTTCAAGGATGGTATTCAGGATTTTAGGCACTTTGAGTAATATCTGAAACTTGGCTTTCCCCTCAGAGATTATGGGCTTTCAGCTGTCTGATAGAAGTTTCAAAGGAAGGAGATAGTGTGATATAAAAAGCCCAGTGAGGCTTTATTACAGTGAAAAGAATGAATATCCTTCCAGTATCAAGGTTCACAATGACCTGTTTTTAAAAGTGAAAACCAGTAATGGCAACTTTTATTCAAGTGTAGAGTGAAAGGCATCACTAACCTCTCATTTTTATTTTTCATCTGGAATGTGTAATTCATCTAAGCCCTTGGGGGCGCTAATCCCCTAGAACCGCTTTGCCTCCGGAGTTGTCCAGAAGCTGACACTCCCGGGTCCTGTGGCTCTTTGTAGGTTTTCATCCTGCAGCTGGAGGGAGAGAAGCACTGGCGCCTGTACCAGCCGACTGTGCCCCTGGCCAGGGAGTACAGTGTGGAGGCCGAGGACAGGATCGGGAGGCCGGCCCACGAGTTCACGCTGAAGGTACGGGACCTCCATCATGGGAGCTGTGCCTGAGACAAGTTCAGGTTTGGGGTTGAGTGTTTGTGTGATGGTCCTCTTGGGAATATGTGCAAGAGCATGGTGGGGCGGGGGGAGGGTGGCTCTCACTCTTGAGCACATGCAACTTGTAAAGGAGACCTGGTGTTTGTACTCGTAGAATTGTGCTAAGGAAATGTTACGTTCATTTTCCAAACAACCTGTCTCCAAATATAATCCAGGTTCCACAGGGATGGACTATGAGTTCGGTGACCACTGACTTAGAAGTGGAAAGTTTGGCCTGGGGCAGCTTCACCAAATCTAAGACAGCAGTCAGGACTGGGCTGTGGCTTACTTAGGCAGAGCACAGCCGGGGACTTAGTTTTTTTGTTGGTAGAATTCTAGTGTGACTCACTCTCCTTCTGATTGTACAGTAGACTCTCTGTGCTCCCCTCCTTACCCCCTGCATGTAGCCACCAGAAAAATAGTAATAGTGAAAGGTCTTAAGGAATCTTACTCTAGGAAGCCAGGTGGCCTGATCATGGTGGCTGGTTCGCTGGTGTCTTGCTACAGAAAGAGACTATCTTTGAGCAGTTAGGTTGAGTGGACTCATAGCCAATCCTAGCAGGTGAGATTGCTGAGAAAAAAATCTCAGAGGGGGGTGCCTGGGTGGCTTAGTCGGTTAAGCGTCCAACTTTTGCTTAGGTCATGATCTCACGGTTCGTGGGTTCGAGCCCCACATCAGGCTCTGTGCTGACTGCCAGCTCAGAGCCTGGAGCCTGTTTCAGTCTGTGACTCCCTCTCTCTCTGACCCTCCCCTGCTCACGCTGTCTCTCTCTCCTAGAAATAAATAAAACATTAAAAAAAAAATCTCAGAGGGATAAAAATAGGTCTTTAATTCAGCTTTATTTATTTATTTGTTTTTTAACATTTATGTATTATTGAGAGACAGAGCATGAGGACGGGAGGAGCAGAAAGAGTGGGAGACACAGAATCTGAAGCAGGCTCCAGGCTGTGAGCTGTCAGCACAAAGCCCGACACAGAGCTCGAACTCACAAACCCATGAGGTCATGACCTAAGCTGAAGGAGAACACTTAACTGACTGAGCCACCCAGGCACCCCCTTAATTCAACTTTATATATTGAATTAAGATACCATAGTTAGCTCAAACCATTCCAAGAGTCTACCAACCTGATATACTTGAATATAGTTACTGTGTTTGCATTTCTTGTGTCTTGAATTTATCATTAGTTATACTTACTCAGTGCCTTATGGACCCTTCTTGATTTTAAAGTTTGCCTGCCTGCCTGTGCCTGGGAGAAACAATATCCCTTTTAGGATGTGTGCTTACATTACAGGAGATTTGAATAGATACAATAAAGGTACCCTTCATTGTTTTTAAGTTCTTGGTCAGTGGTCAGCAGACTATGGTGTGTGGGCCGGAAATATGGCTGCTCCTGTTTTTCTAAATGAAGTTTACTGGAACACGGCCATATGCACTCATTATTTACTGTCTAGGGGTCCATTCACATTGCACCCACAGAGTTGGCTGGTTGCCACAGAGACCACATGGCCCATGAACCGATATTTATCATGGAGCCCTTTACAAAAAGAGTTCACCAACCCTTGCTCTTGGTGAAGCGTGTTGAGTAGGCTCTTGGTTGATTATTTTTATTTTTATTTTTTTTATTTTTATTTTTTTAATGTTTTATTTATTTCTAGGAGAGAGACAGCATGAGCAGGGGAGGGTCAGAGAGAGAGGGAGTCACAGACTGAAACAGGCTCCAGGCTCTGAGCTGGCAGCCAGCACAGAGCCCGATGCGGGGCTCGAACCCACGAACCGCGGGATCATGGCCTAAGCGAAAGTCGGACGCTCAACCGACTAAGCCACCCAGGCGCCCCTTGGTTGATTATTTTTAGGCCAGAGATTAAGCTGTCCATGGTCTCTGAGGCCCAGGATGAGTTACCTAGTTTGATGACAGCCGACTTGCCCTACCCGAGAAAGTTGGTCTTTATAGCGGTCTTCGGGTACAGGTGATGTGGGTTCTGTGAGGCGGTGCTGGGAGGCTGGGATGTCATGGAGCCATGCCTGTTAGTCACACTCATCCAGACCTCAGTTCATTAAGAGCAGCCGAGTCTTCTAGGAGGCGAAAGACAAGCATCGGGTACCGTAAGGTTTTTTTCCCAACTGCACATCTGTATATACATGTGAATTTTAAGTCACCGAAGCTCCTCAAATGAAATCTTGGCATAAATGTCCAGTATATGAAACAGAAGAGCTGAGTCATTCTGGGTAGGGTGGGCATCAAGGCCACCGTGAACATCACCACACCTGGGGTCTTGGGATGAAGACCACTCCTGTGATGGAAGCACCACTATGGTTTTGGGGTCTGACACCCCTGGTTTTGAATTTAGCTGTGGTCACTTAAGAGCTGTGGGTTCTTGGGCAGGTTGTTTATGTAAGTCTCAGTTTCTCCTTTATTGAAAAGGAGAGCATGATATTTACCTTGTAGGTGGTAAGAACTGAAAAATAGGGTTTTTTTAAATGTTTATTTATTTTTGAGAGAGAGACAGAAAGTGAGTGAGGGATGGAGAGAGGCAGAGAGATAGAGGGAGACACAGAATTGGAAGCAGGCTCTAGGTTCTAAGCTGTCAGCACAGAGCACAATGTGGGGCTTGAACTCAAGAACTGTGAGAACATGACCTGAGCCGAACTCGGACGCTTAACTGACTGAGCCACCCAGGTGCTCCTGGAAGATAGGTTTTGATGCCTCCTTTACAGTGAAATTCCTTGGAAGAGAAGGCTATATGTCAGTACATTTATTGCTGCTTATCAAATTCCCACAAATTCAGTGGCTTAAAACAACAGACACATTTAGTTCTGCAGTTCAGCAGTCCAGAAGGGATTTGGTTTTCCTTGGCTGAAGTCAGGTGTTGGCAAGACTGTTCCTTCCAGAAGCTCTAGGGGAGAATCCATTTTCATGCTTTTTCCAGCTTTTAGAGACCTCCTGCATTCCTTGGCTCACAGCCCTTCCTCCATCTGCAAATCCAGCAGCAACGTAGAGCCTAGTCTTTCTCATGCTGCCATCTTTTTGGTTCTCCTCTCCTGTACCTTCTTCTGCTTTTAATCATCTTTGTGATTACGTTGTACCTGCCTGGATAGCCCAGAACAGTTTCCCTCTCAGCAACCTTAATTCCATTTGCAGCATTAAATTCATCTTTTCTGGGTGCCCTAAATATCCATAGGTGCTGGGGATTAGGACGCAGACCTCTTTGGGGACCCCGCCCAGTCTTCTCTCCTTCTCCTGGGAACTCTTCCCAGCAGACTTCCCCCCAAGTCCCCCCGACTCTTGCTCCAGGACCACTCTCCCCAAGGTTACCAGGGACCACCACATTGTCAAGTACAGTGCTTACCTCCAAGTCCCCATCTTTCCTTTTTTTAAAGTTTTATTTATTCTGAGATGGAGAGTGATCAGGGAGGGCAGAGAGAGTGGGGAAGAGAGAGAATCCCAAGCACGCTTCACATTATTAGTATAGAGCCTGACGGGGCTTGAACCCACAAACCATGAGATCAAGACCTGAGCCGAAGTTGGACACTTAACCAACTGAGCCACTCAAGCACCCCCTTCTGAGTCCCCATCTTAGCAGCCTCCTGTCAGCCTCATTGGATATAGTGGGCCACTCCCACCTTCCTCACTGGGCTTCTAGGACGCCAGCCTCTTTTGCTTCTCTTTCCTGCTTACTGGCTGTTCCTCTTCATTCTCTTCGTCTGTTTTGTCTTCAGTCTTTGCTCCTCTGAACGTTAGGGTCCCAGGGTTTATTTCCTGGGCCTCTTTCCTCAATCTGTACCCACTCCCATCATTTTAAATTTTCTCTAGACTGATGTATTTGCAATGCTATGTTCTGTCTCTAGCCCACATCTCTAAACTCCTATCCAACTGCCTACTTAATGTCTCCACTAAAAAGATAAAAGGTGTCACAAATTTAATATTCTGCAAAGCAAGCTCCCATTTCCCGCTGTCCCCAGGCGCCTTTTCTGTAAATGTGTCGCATTTTCCTGCGTGTTCAAGACAAAACCCTTGGATGTGGATTTATACAAAAGCCTCCTATCTGGTATCCCCTTTGCAGACTTTTCTGACATAACCATAATGATCCTTTTGAGATCCATTGTACCCCTTGCCCAGACCTACAGTAGCTTTCTTTTTTTTTTTTTTTTTTAATATTTTTATTTATTTCTAGGAGAGAGACAGCATGAGCAGGGAGGGTCAGAGAGAGAGGGAGTCACAGACTGAAAAAGGCTCCAGGCTCAGAGCTGACAGTCAGCACAGAGCCCGAAGCGGGGCTCGAACCCACGAACCACGAGATCATGACCTAAGCGAAAGTCGGACGCTTAACCGACTAAGCCACCCAGGCGCCCCCCCTACAGTAGCTTTCTATTAAATCTGGAATAAAAGCCAAAGTCTTTAAAATAGGCCAGAAGGCCCTGTAATCCAGCCTGTCTTCTGCCTTCTCCCTTTACCTCCCATCATTTCCACTTTTGCTGCTCTCCTACCACATTGACCCAAGCACATTTTTAACCTCAGGACCTTTGCACTTGCTCTTCCCTCTGCCTGGAATCCTCTACCCAGGTAGTCACTTAGCTTGCTCATTCTCTAAAGACCTACCTGAAATGTCTGGCAGAGTGAGGTTTTAGTGCCCATCCTGGATAAAAATGGCACCTCATACCCAAGGCACACCCTGCCCACCACCTCCGTATGTGTCATTCATGTCCCTCTTCTGTTGGTTTTGTATTCATTGCGCTTACCACTGCCTGACATTATTTATTTACTGCCCTGTTTTCTGTCTTGCCCCACTAGAATGTTTTGATTGTATTCATTGTCTCTTCTCTCTACTCAAATGTGTCCTCTCATCTCAAATGAACTACAAAGGGGCAGGTCTTTGTTTAATGCTCTAACCCCAGTGCCTAGCATGATGCCTGGCACGGGAGCAAGATGGAGAAGGGTGAATCCGATGTTTGTGGGATGAATAAATGAATGAATGAAGGTCTCATTTGGAGGGTGGTGTAGAGACACTTGAGCAAATGAAGCTGTAATTGTGAGTCAAGCATTTGCTTCAAGTAGTAATTTCCATGTCAGCTTGGTGTCATTCAGGGTGAAGGAGCCACCAGGATAGCCCTTATGAATATATTTAATTGTATATTGATTCTTTTTAAGGAAGATCTTAACATTAAGGAAAGGTTTATTTTTTTAATCTGCTCTCTCTTGAACCACACCTCCTGGGCCCCTGCTCTTAACCGGAGCCAGAGTGCTTCCCACAGTTGCAGCTGGGGGGTGCGTGGCTGCTAGGCTTGCTTCTCCTCTCTTGAGGCAACTGCTATATGGAATGTTTCTCGCCTAGGTGGGATTGGGGAGGATGTAGCTTCAGGAGTGATTTAGGAAGATATGCCTGTCCCCCGGCTTGAGCGAGACCTAGGACAGGGTAGAGATGGCTCAGCTGCCCGCGAGAGGGACTCATCTTCAGTCACATCTAGATGTTTTAGTCCAAGTGAAGGGTTCCGTGGTTTTTCATCTAGTCATCCAAACATTCACTGAGCCTCTGTTGGCCACCGGTGCTTTGGTAGTTTGGGCTCTGGAGGACACACAGCGGACCTCGACCCTGCCTGGAAGAGCTTACAGACTTCCCAATGGAAGATGGGGGAGTGGCAGCTAAAGCGGTACTTACAGCACCAGCACCTGCCCTCACCTGGCATCTCCTTTAGTCCTGAAAATAAGTCTGTGCTTTTTGGGCCACTGCCTCCATTTTACAGGTGAAGGAACTGAGGCTGTGGTGGGCTAAATAATTTTCTGGGGTCCCTAACCAGTAAATGGCAACGTCTGTATGACTCTAAAGCTTCTCCTCTTGACCACTGGACTGTTCAAAGGGTGGAGAGGAAGAGTGAAGGCTTCCCTGACACAGGAGGTCACCTGAGTGATCCCTGGATTGGGGGCAGTTTCAAGGGTAACTGGTCTCGGCTGTGAATAAAGAAAGTGACTTGGGGAACTGAAAGCCTCTTCAGGACTGGGGTTCACAGTGATAGGCTCACAGGCACAGTGAAGCTAGCCTGGCGGGACCCCAGGAGCCCAGCATATAGAATCACTAAAAAGGAGGTTTCTGAAAGGGAGAACTGAAAGTCAGAGCCTGTTTTTATCTCTTTAGGACAAAGGATTGAGAAGACATCCCCCTTATTAAGTCCCTCCTCCCTTTTCTTTTTCTTCCTTTAGCCGGGTGATTTGCTGTACTTCCCCAGAGGGACCATTCATCAAGCGGACACTCCTCCGGGGCTGGCCCACTCTACTCACGTGACCATCAGCACTTACCAGAACAAGTATGACCCTCCTCCCAGCCTCGGGTCCCAGGGCAGCTCAAGTGGTGGCCAGTGGCAGCTGCTCACGGACGGGAATGAGGGGGTGGGCCACTACTGTCCTGCTTTCCCAGTCTCAGGGGTTGCATTCAGGCTCCCTCGCTAACGCCATATGCCTTTAGAGTCCTCGCCCTGCCATCGGCCCGTGGAGGCTTCTTCCCGGGAACACCCTGATCGTTGGGAGTTACCCAGGAAAGGCTCCCAAGTTTGGGAAGAAAGAACGATAGCCATGGGTGTGGCAGTGTTAGTGATGCCAGGCTGGACGTGTAGTCTCTCTCTTTTTAAAAATTTTTTATTGCACTAAAATATATTTATAACCTAAAATATGACACTTTATCCATTTGTAAGTGTACAATTCGGTGACAGTAATTACATTCACACATTGTCTAAGCATCACGCGTTTGCTTCCAAAACATTTTCATCACCCCAAACAGAAAGTCTATCCATTGAACCCTCTGGATCTCTTTTGAGGTTTCCAGCTTTTATAAAAGTTCATGAAGTTAAGTAGGAAAGGAAGTCTGGAACAGTGAGACCTAAAAGCACATGTGCTGAAAACAGTTCTAATTAAAACTGTGCTCTATTTCCCTGAGTGCCTCCTCACAGGACCCGGGCGGAAGCGCACTCCCTGTGAGTGGTTTCCTAACAGCAGCGACCTTGCTAGTCCAGATCTCGTTAAAAGTCGTGAATGTATTGCAGCCTGCAGGCGCCAGAGCCTGTGCTAGTTGCTGGGAACGCAGGGGCTTTGCGAGAACGTGCAATCTGAAAGTAGGGGTAGATTCCACCAGGGGTTAGCAGGGGAGACTCTTGCAGTATGAACGAATGCACTTGGCCAAGCTGGGGCATCCGGGAAGGCTCCAGAAATGCCTTGACGCCCAAGCTGAGTGAATCTCAGAGGATGAGTAAGTAGAGGTGGGTCAGCAGGTCAGAGTAGGAGAGGCATTCTAGTCCCAACGGACAGCCAAGTCCCCTCCTACCTTCAAAGCCATGACTTGCAAAACAAGTTAGTAAGGATACTCTGCTTCCTCATCTGGCTTTTCCGGGTGAAATCAACCCCTGTGTTTGAGGCTTCCCAGAGGAACTAGCTGGAGCCTGGCCTAAAGTTAGTGCAGTCCTTGCCCACAAGTAGAAGGCCAAAGCTTATGAAAAATGCCTTTCTTACTGTGGCTAGGAAGATGCGTGTCACCAAGGCCAGCTTAAGAAGAGTGGGGGCAATTGAGGGAGGGGGCTTATAGGACGTGGAGAAGGGCCAGCCACAGGGAGGCCAGGACCAGAAGTTCACTGTGGGTTCAAAGTACCTCGGAGCCCGGCAGCCAGTTTGGTCCCATGAATGGCCATGTAGCTTCCGGGGTCCTGCCATTTGTGTTACTCAGCTACTCTCCATTTCTGTGATCCTCTGTCTTTTGCATTTCACTTACTGCCCCCAACTGGTGTTCTAGCAATTGGTTTTCCACTTGTTTTCTTTCCTCACCTTCTGTTTACTCCTTACATTGACTCATCATAAGCCATCATTAGGTTACTTGTCTGACCTCCCTTTATCTCACTGACTTAATAGCTCTTACCTCTGCTAAACTGTTTCCCAGTTCCAAGAGCGAAGATCCGGTGGGCTGTCCCTGGGTCCCACCCGTGCCTTCTCTGGTCAGCTGGGGACGTGACGTGTCTGGGTCAGACTCTAACCTGCGCCTTTATCGGTGGTGCTGGAGCTTGAATGTAACTTAAGAACCATTGCCTCCCAGAGATGTCCCTGTGCTGTGGTCCTGGTGCTGTTGAAGGCACTGTGTGTGGCAGGGTGAGGATTTGGGGGGCTTTTCCTAACACCTCTTAAGGGCAGCATTGTTGGGAATGTTTGGGACCTCTGTGGAACAGCAGCAGATTAATTTGGCTATTTTACCTAAGGGAACCCCTCAAAAGGTATTAACCTTACATTCTGGAAAGACCCAAGATCCATACTGACTCTTAAATAAGAGCACAGAGCTCTGGTTAGGTGCAGTTAATGCCTTCACGAGCTACTGCCACACGATTTCATCTGTGACCCTGCAGAAGAAGAGCTTATTTTTGTGCAGGTGAAGGTCCCCAGGAAGGGGGTTCACTCAGTCAGATGTGAGGTTGGGTGTCACATGAAGTTATAAAGTGGTGAAGAGGCCAAATGGTGGATGTCGTAAGGAAAGTGCCTCTTATGTGGCTTTTGTCTTCGTTTGCCACGTTTTCGGAAGGGAAGCATAAAAGTGTTAATTTTGCTTAGTGGGTGAGAAGCAAAAGTCATACTGTGAATTTCCATTTTGCACGTAGCCAGCAATTTGAAATCTGGCGACACTGAGGGAAATTTTAAACAGCGAAGACATGTTTAAAGAGAGCAGCCCCACAGAGTGTTCCGTACAGTGGCACACATTTGGGACTGAGCCAATGGTAAATGGCCCCAGAGAAAGCACAGGTAATTGAACATCAGTGCTCAACCCTAGATGTTATTTTTGGCCACTGGATTCTACCCTTATAGTCCAGTAAAACTATGGCTAGAGTTTAACAAGTTGCAAATTAACTATTTTGAAATTGTTGATGTTGGATATTTTACTGAGGAAGAGTGCCCATCTTCTATATTGGGGGGAAAAAGGAAAATGTCATGTGTAACAGTTCAGATAATTATACAGTCTAGGGATCTGGAGGTTACCCTAAATGTATTTCTTCTGGATTTTTTGAACATAAAATTTTTTTTATGTCCTGTAATTGTTACAATCTCCTACAAAGCCCTTCTCATACACTTGTGTTATAGTTGAAAACATTTAAAAAAAAATTAGTCCCTTGAACTTCCCACTTTACGACTGTATATGATTGTGTGGCATCTTTAAGAGAAATTGTGAATAGAGTCTATTTTCCCACCTTTAACTTTCCACGTGAGTGTCTGGGAAAGGGGAAAGAGAAGCTGTGTGATTGATGAAGGTCTTTTAAAGTTTTTTTGTGCTGAGTCATATCAGATTAATTGAACTCATGATGACTGGGGATGGGAGTTGGAATGCCCTTTGTAGCTTTGGGATTTACTCTCGCAGTCAGTGTTTTTTGTAAATTCTGTGTGTGGTCTGTTTTCTTTCTCGGTGCATGTTCCAGTTCCTGGGGAGATTTCCTTTTGGACACCATGTCGGGGCTTGTGTTTGACACCGCAAAGGAAGATGTGGAGCTCCGGGCTGGCATACCCCGGCAGCTCCTCCTGGTGAGCAGTGAAGGCGGGTGGGGACACATGGCCGCCCAGGCTGCCGGGAGCTGTGGTCTGCCTCCGAGGGACCCCGGGATCCTTCCTCCCACAGGAGTTAAGCTCGTCTCCTCCTGGGCGGATGGCAGAGTGGGGTGGTTTGCAGAGGAGGGTCGTGCCGCACATGACGTGGGACCCAAAGAGGGTGTTGTCAGCCCCCTTCCCATAGGTCCTGGTGGCAGCAGCAGGCACTGTGAGGACGCTGGCTGAACACGTGGTTGAATAAGTAAGACGTGCGGCTAGGAGAGCCATAGATTCCCTGCACGTGATCAGTTAGGAGAGGCCCACCGGCGATCCTTGGCGTACAGGGGTGTTCCTGGCTTCCCTCTGCCTCCATGTTTTATGTTTGGAACAGTGGCACTGTTAGGGTAGTTTGGAGGTGGCTGCATTAGTGCTGAGTTGAGCAAGGTTACTTTCACTATCTGAAGCAGTCACCTCAGGACAGTGAGTTACTTTCCTAAAGGCAGAGCTGAGACTGCCCCATATTTCTAGGGATCCCTCTTGTCAATCCTGACAATTGATCTTTTTTGAGGAAACAAAAGGCAGCTTATGATGAATAGTGGTTACAAGTATTCTTAAATACATTGGTTGTCCCCAATCCTGTACCCCCAGAAGTGACATGGATCTGTGTCTGTACTGGGCGATTATGCTCTGTACTACTTTGGAGACCAGCACCTGGGCCGTAAGTCCTGCTGGAGTTTGGACCAGGACTCACTTCTGTGTTTCCAGCAGGTGGAAGCCACGGCTGTTGCAACAAGAAAATTAAGTGGCTTTCTGAGGACCCTTGCAGACCGCCTGGAGGGCACCAGAGAGCTGCTTTCGGCAGACATGAAGAAGGATTTTGTTACGAGCAGACTCCCCCCTTACTATATGGGAGACGGATCAGAGCTTTCCACGCCAGGTGGAGCTTTTGTTTTCCTTCTAGATGGTCAGGGGCTGAAGTGGGAGATTTTGAGGCTTTCCTGGATGGGCTTCTCTTTGGGCAGATGGAAAGTAAGAAGCATCTTAATAAGATTTATATGGGGGAGAAGGAGGGAGAGAGAGAGAGAAAATCTCAAACAGGCTCCATGCTGTCAGTGCAGAGCCAGTGTAGGGCTCAATCTCACGAAGCGTGAGATCAGGGCCTGAGCCAAAATTCAAAGTCCATCACTTAACCACTGAACCACCCAGGTGCCCCAAGCACTGTAGAATTCAGGTGGGTCTGGATCTGTCTCTGGCATGTTATGTTTGGATAGGACATGCTGTACCTTGAGGCATCCTGCATCCCTGCATGATGGGGAGAAAGAGCCTTGGGATTGTGGGTGAAAAATAGGTGTATTTATGGGCCCTCAGGTATTCATCATTTTCAGGAAGTTTTAATAACTTGAACACTGAACTAATTCCAACAAGATGACCTCAGGGATGGGTAAAATATTGCCACCAGCAGGTGAAATGTAAGAATGTCCAAGGTGGTCACCAACTTTCCCTAAGTCTCAAGTGACTGTTTTGTGACAGGTTTAGGCTGCAGATGACCTAACACTGTGGGTAGACGGTGATAGCAGACCGTCAGCATGGCACTGCTGCGGCGGGACAAGTGGGTTTATGCCTTGTGGCACCCGGGAAGACCACACACTGCTGGGGGTCGTGGGGCATCTCAGTAAGAGTGTTGGAAGGATTTATAGGATTTGGGCTCCAGTGAGGTGATTTTTCAGGAAGGTTAAGGAAGTGGGACTTTGCTGTGGGTTGGATGCTGTCAGAAAGTAGGGAGTCTGACTGGGTCTCCTGCAGGCATAGTAGTGAAAGGAGGCTGAAGCTGCAGATAGTGAAGCAGGAGCTGCCTCCTGGAATAGTGGGGTGGGGACCTGGTCATTTTGGAGATTGGGACAATGTTCTCACTTTTGCCTGAGTTCTGACATGATTGTGGAGCAGTTTTGTTGTCTTGCTCTCTCACAGAGGAGGGGCCTTATGTAACGTTGGTGTTCAGTGGGACTGTGTTCAGCAGACACACGGCTGTGAGTTCCAGGTCTGATCTTGGGCTGCTTGGTGCTTTCTCCGTGGAGTGAGAGTCTCATTTTTACTAATTTTTATAAATGGCTTGTTTATCATAGTTGAGAACCACTGAAATGGTCTATAAGGTTGCCTCTAACATTGATTCTAGTTTGTATTTTTAGTACAGTCTTTGAGGGAAGTTTAGAATTTGTTTTTGCTAATAATAAAAAAAAAAATAGATTTTTACCAGCATGTATTTTTCATCAGCTTATGGTGCAGAATATCCTCTCTAAGCTTTTCCTTGTCTTAGCCACTAGAGTCCATAAGGCTCTGTTTTTAGTGGCTAACTTTTCACGAAGTTAAATCCAATTTGGAAAAGACAATTTTTTTTCTGTGAATTTTATTTATTAGGCGGCTTTTATGATCCTCTGCTTGACCTACATGGATAGAATAATTTGCTATGATTATACAACTAGTAGTTGGTGAGATGGTGCGGTTTGAACTCAGTCCTCCCAGGGTCCACATGTAGAGCAAGAGGCAGAGGACAGAAACTGGGGAAGGGAGTGTTGTGTGCAGAAGGCACGGTGGCCCTATTGTGACAGCTGTCATGCTTCCACAGTATTGTTTACATCTATTTAACACACTTAACCATCTATTGTTACTGATCTGTTAAACATCTGTACTGGGAGAATGTGCTCCATAAGGATGTAAACTATATTTCAGCATCATTATAAATATGGGGTAAGCCAGTACTTGAGTTGGGGGGTACCCCACATTTGGATTTATCCACAGACAAGACTGAGCTTGGATTTCCTCTTGTGAAGGTTGTCTTTCTCCCTCTGGGTCTTCTAGGTGGACAGTTACCAAGGTTGGACAGCACAGTGAGACTGCAGTTTAAAGACCACATTGTCCTCACAGTAGGGCTGGATCAGGATCAGTCTGTGAGTATCCAGAGGGGAGGTTTCCTCTTTTCTCGGGACATTTCCATCGCAGGCCTCAGGGTATCAAATTAACATACGGCCCCTGCTTTTCCCCTTCATGCATCCGTCTGTTCCCATAACTTAGTGCCCTGGCTTGACATCAGTCAGATGGTGCTTAGATCTCACTAGGCCAGAGATGCCTGCCTGTTGGGCATTCGGGGATTGATGCCTGGTTTCAGGCCATACTGCTTTTGCTCTGATAACTGCAGACCCTTGTTCATGCACCTCCCTCTCCCCTCCTGAATATGGCTTTGTTGAGGTTTCTTCTAAAAAAAATCTCTTACAGATCTTGGAGAAGGTCGACATTCTATAACTTTGCCACATAGCCCTATGGTTCCCCAAACCAGCTGTTTCTTGACTCTCTTGGAATTTTTTTTTTTTTTTTGGAGAGTGCGTGCCAGCAGGGGAGGGGAAAAGAGAGAGAAGGAGAAACTTAACAGGCTCCATTCTGGGCATGCTGATGCAGGCCTTGATCACTGTTGTGAGATCATGAGCTGAGCTGAAATCAAGAGTCGGAAGCACAACTGCCTGAGCCACCCAAGTTCCCCAACTGGAAAACTTTTAGAAATTTTAAATTCCTAGGTTTCATATGGTCTGGGTCGGAGCTTCTGGATTTATTACTAAAGCTCCCTGGACCTAATGCTAAGGACCTTGGGAACTATCCCATGCCCTAGGGCTTTACCCTCTTCCTTTTAATCTGCTATCTCGATACATAGTCTATAAATGACGGCAGGGGAGGAGAGTCTGGGACAGCTAGGTGTGTTTATAACCACACCTGGAGAGGACTGCTTTATAAGACACACAGAAAACCTCAAAGGTTTACACTCTCATATTCCTACTTAAAATAAAAATCCTAGTTACTTTGATAGCCAATCAGTTTGAGATATTCTGTGTCAGGCTAAGTATTTGACCCTTATCTAACAGGTAACCAGGACTGAGTGACGGTTCTGATTAGGATGCTGAACACCCCCCCCCCCACCTCCCCCCGTGTAGGACGGATAGGAAGGGAAGTTGAGAGTATCTGGGAGGCTACTGTAATTGGAAGTTTAATAGATCCCATGGCTGGTAATATGCTCCATGATGTTTATAAATTGCCAACTTATCTAACTGGGAGTGTCAAATTCTGACATAAAACTGTGCTGCTAGGATCAAATGAACAAACTTGAGTGTTTCATTGATTAAGTTGATATGTAAACGGTTTTCTCATTAAACTAAACTACATTTCTGATGATCTCCCAGCTACACTCTCTTTAAAATGTGACTATTTGTTACATACAAATAGTAATCTGGTTATAATATATACATGGTATAGTTTGTGTATATACATCCTTTTGTATCAGTTTCTTTACAGTATCCTTGGTGTTCATTTTTATTATTGGAAAATCCTCCTAGTATTTTGTTGACAACTTAATGCTTCCCCCCCCTTTTTCTTTTAAAGGATGAAACTCAGGAAAAGATGATTTACATCTATCATTCCTTAAAGAATAGGAGAGAGACCCACATGATGGGAAATGAGGAAACAGAGGTATGTTCCAACCCAAAGTGTCTTTCCTGTGATTTGGTGGTACCTGGGAAGAATGTGTTACCTTTGACTTCTGGGTAATGTGCCTTTTTATGACTGCAGTGTGGACTTAACGTTTTGCACAATTGACAAAGCCCTTGCATGGGGATGATGAAGTCAGACAATTCTGTGATCTACATATCCCAACTTTAAAAGATACCAGCTGGGACCTGCAGCCTTGTAGGAAATGTGTAATGTAATAAGTAGGAAGTGTTTCAAATGACTATTATATAAACTAGGATGCTTTCATAAAGTCTAAGTTTTTATATGGAATTGGTCAATCCTATAAGACCTAATTTTAAGGTTATCAAAGATGATTTACTGAGAACTATAGAAGTTTTTTATGAAAATACATTTTTTATTTGACTATTTTATCCTTTTTCAGGGTCATGGACTTCGCTTTCCTTTGTCACATATGGATGCACTGAAGCAAATTTGGGGCCATCCAGCTGTTTCTGTCAAGGACCTGAACCTTCCTACAGATGCGGAAAAGGAAAACCTGGTGTTATCCCTCTGGACAGAGTGCTTAATCCAGGTAGTCTAGTGCCTTTCCAGAATTATCTCCTATATACATATGAAAAGGAGTCAACAGCCTGGGCATGGCCCTTTACCAACCGGAGACCTACCTGTTTGAGGAAGTTGGTTGGCCATGTGTATTACAGAGGTACGTGGAGGAAAGAATGGCAGATGAAGTGTCTCAGAAAGTAACAAAACTGTACTTTTGACAAACTCATTTAATCCAGTGTGGTAGAAAAGGCACAACTCCAATAAATGTTATCACTGAAATTTGAAGGTCGTTTACCTGGCTTCGTCTTTGTTCTTTGGAAGAAACAACTTCTTTAAAGAGCCTCACATCACTGGCTCTATAAAAATCTTTTCAACAATTAACACAAAGAAAAAATTTTAAAGTGTTTTTTTTTTTTTACAATGAAAATATACATACCTTTGTGTATACACAACGCCCCCTCCCCCAATTAAAGTTACTCCATAAATTTCATTAAATACTGCCAAACTAATGTAGAGGCACTCACATCGATGGGTTTAAGGGAGTTTTACAGATGCTGCTTCAAAGGTGACAAAAAGCCTGAGAGTGAAGGAAAAAAACTTAGTATTTACATGGAAACACCAAGTCTCTATAAAAAATGCTCAAAGTAGTGGGTCTTTGTGTTTAAACAATTCACTGTTATTTTACAGTCTAAAGTGCTTATAGGTTGATATTTAAAAATATCACTGGTGGATTGAATCTATATAAAAATAGAGCAGATGGTTTTCTCCTTTCTGACAAAAGTTGGGGATGAGGGGAACAGCTGTTTAAGTTTAAAACCAACTCAGGAGGAAAAAATACTAAGAGTTGTGTAATTTTTAAAGGTGGTAACGATTACTTGATATCCTGCCTGATTTTGCTTATACATGGAAATGAAAAGTTTTGTCATCTTATTAAATAAAATGGTAGAGTCAAGGCTCAAATACTATTTGGGTTTTCACTTGAACATTTGAAATTTACATCAGCAAAGAGAAATGTGTCTAAAAACTCGAGGGCAGATCAGGCAGAATCTAGGATGAGGCCTCAGCACCAGGACTGGTTCGAGTCTTGCCATCCGGAAGGGTATGTTACTAACAGAGTAGAAGGATGGCCACAGGTTATTTGTGCCTTTTTTTTTTTTTTTTAGTTTAGCCACAGAAAATATGCTAGTACTTGAGCCTTTTTCCTAACAAAGCTGAGGTCCTTCTCTGGGGTCAGTTACAAGCATGAATACTTACGGTGCTTCTGTTATAAAAGCTTCAAAAGAGAAGAACCGTTAAGGCTTATCTAAACAGCAGCTTAATAGGAAGGTTTATTAAATACATTTTCAGGTATTGCTAAAAAAGTTACATTCTTGCAAAAGTATGACTTGACCTAAAGGAATTTGTTTCCCTGTGCTCAGCACTCACACACCCATCTAGTAGGATAACAGGAGAGAAAACACACACTTAAGGAAGCCTGCTCACCAAAACTGGACATCAAGCAGGAATAGAACCTTTCGCAGAAATCACATTGTGTTCTTCATAGGAACACTGAACCACCAGCAAGAATACTCTGAGCCTTTCCATGGTTAAGAGCAACTGTTTGGAACCTGGGAGAAAACATTCTGCTCAGTAATGGAGAAGCGCGAGGAAAAGGAGATTCCTCACCATGGGAGGTGAGGTTCCTTCTTCCTTTGCTTTCTCGAGATGTTCCCGATTCTCACAATATTTCAATGTCCCATTTCTGTGTTTCTTCTCCCTCCAGGGGTTGATTTACAATTACATGAGTCTTGTCATAATAATTTCCTCCTAAAATAGAAATTCCAAAAGATTATTTGTTCATACGGGTGCTTAACAATGTTCACAGGCTTTTATTCTGTCCATTGTGTGGTAGACTAGTACTTGATTTTACAGAGCAGCCTGAAATGGAAAACTGAGTTTAAACCAGCTTAGCTGTTAACAACCTCAAATAGGACGGACCTTATCATGACTCAAATTGAAAACATAAGGGGTATAAATTGACTGCAAAAGCAGTGTGCCCTAACAAAGCAATTCTGAACAACAAAGTGCTCGGTTGGAGGCAGCTCTGGCTGAACGTCCACTGACCGTGGCTATGACTCAGCCAGTTAAAGCAACAGCCTGGACCTTGCTGAATTTAAAAACTAGCTTAAACAATACCATCAATTTTAACTGAAGGTTTTTAAGGACTACAGCAATTCATGGCAAAAAAGGTTTCTTTCTAAGAAACAGGACATTTTCTAGTTGATGAAGCTTTTATCAATTTACAATTGTTCTCAAAGATCATGTAGCAAATGAGAATTTTACAACTATACTAATGTACAAAAACCTTCTAAGGTTTGTCCTTAGGCTTTTCCTACTTGATCCAAGTAGCGAATTGTTTTGTTCATTAAAACAGCATTCTCTCTTTCCAAGAATAATTAGAAATAACTTAGTATTTCTTTTACCCAGGAGGAGGTTTGGAATTTAAATTATATCCAGGGACATAGAATGTTTGTCCTGTGGGTTTGTTCAAAGGCCCACCTTTAACATCAAGGACAAGCTGATCACTGAGATAGGAGCTGATGGTTCCATTTCTGTTCAGCCTCCACTTCTGCCGGAACTGTCCATGTTCGGTCCATAGAGCCACTTTAGCTCCAGGTATGTCCCGACCACCAATCACATCGAGGCATGTATCACTGGCCTAAGAGGGTTAGGAAGCAAAGTGGCAGTACCGTGTTAGTGCGAATCAAGTGAACGGGGTGGGTCCCTTTTCTTTACACGACTCTCATCTAGAAAAGAAGACCCTATAGCATAATTATAATTCCACTAACTTTTTAAGTCTTCTTTACAGCTGAGAGAAGGAGATGAGTGGTACAGAAATAGATCTACTGAAGTTGAGGTGCTCGTTTTTAAAAGGATATCTGCATCTGACAACAGATGGTCAATGAAGGTTTGCTGCATTACAATTAAATGTTTATTAGCATAAACGTATCAGGTCAGTGGAGCTTGGTTTTCCTATAAGAGCATCGGGTGATGAGCTAGATAGCCATACGATAATTACTCTTAAGTGCTTTTCATTTTTGTTGATGAGAAAAGGGTGGATAATCCATCGGTGACATAATAAAACTGGTGTCCTATTCCCCAGAGCATCAAATGTAATGGAGCGTCACAAATGTAAACTTTACTTTTCTAAGCTTTCTCCAGTAACAACTTCGTGTACTACTGCTTCCCTGTGTATTTGAAAGTGGAAGTTTCAACATGATCAGAATCAGAAGGACAGCTGATTTTACCTGGGCCACAGTAAGGGATGTGTCACAAAAGCCTTATGTCCAGTTGGATCCAGCGGTTTTGGAACGTCATTTAGGCATATCCACCTACCTTAGTTTTTAACTTCAAATAGAGAATTTTTCCATCTAGAAAATTCAGTTTCTAAATCCCTTTCACTGAAAAACCTTAGTAATATACATCACAATATTTGTATAATCCTGCAACTAACTTTCTAGGAAGTTGGATTATTTTATAATGCCATTTGATTTGGCAAGATTCTGGTTTCCAAGAGGAAAAACAAAACAAAACAAAACAAAGGCCAAAAGGCAGGGCGCACTTTCAGTGGGGTGGTTACCTTGGACTTGAAGAGCCCTCGACAGTAGTGCCAGATCTGAGTGGTCTTGCCGCTGTAGGGAGAAATGCACACAGATGTTGCCCTTGTGTCAGCGACATTGCCGGTGACGGTCAGATACTCGTCCTGGGCCCGGTTCTTTATTCTGATGTACACTGCAGGCTAGCACGGGAGAGACCGCCAATTAGGAAGAAACCTTGTGAACCTGGAAATCAAGCCTTCCAGAGGACGGCTTGGGAGGCAGGCAGTGACGGAATCCAGCTTATGTATTCACTTGCACTCTTCCTCCCTTGAGTCAGTATGTTTAAGTTACTGTTTTTCTACTGAAAGATCTCAGGTCACTGAACGCTTTTCTTCTAAACAATGCGCTTTTGGAAAGGTGAAAGGTAACGGTTTCCTTCACTAAAATGCCACATGTCAAGGGGCAGTGAAACATGCTGGACTTGCTGAGTTTCATTCAGGAACCAGGGTGTCCCATCCGTGTGGGGAGAGGAAGGGGAAGACGCTGCCCACCTCCAAGGCTCTCCCAACAACTTAGCAAACACTGCAATCGTGAGACCTAGTGTTTGAGCTACTGTTAAGTGCCAAATGTCTGCTGTGAAAAGTCTTGAAAAACCCAGGTAGCTGAGGGCCTGAGCAGCTGTCGTAATGTCTGTTTAATTTATACTTTGTGGACCTTTACACTTTAAGGGAAGAGACCATGTATGTTTAATCAGTGTGTAGGTATTCAAGAACTTTATCCCCTAAGCCTGGAAGACAGAGTTTTCAAATGCAACAGTAAATCTAGGACTTACCTAGATAATATTGATTGAGAGCTTAGTATATGTCAAGCAGTGTGCTAAATGCTCGCTGGGCCATTGTGTTATCTGTCTATGTTAATAACCAGAAGAACCCTTTAAGAAAGTACAATGATGAGCCAAAGTTTACAAAGTTAACATAGATGTGCAGAAGCCAGGCTGGCCTTCACCAAAACTGTCCCTCTTAACCAAGATGCTCTAAGGTTTGCTTAAATGTACTAATTACCCTCAGACACAGAGAATAAGAGAAGGTGGCAGTGTGAATTAAGTCAGAAGAGGAAAAGATACAGCATAGGATGGAAACTCCCCAGAAACCATTCTTTCAGCCATAGGCCTCCTGCCTTAATGAAATAAAATACAAGACACTCCACATCCCCACCTTGGGTCATACGCTGACACCTCAATGAGAACTTTGCTAAATAAGAACAAACCATCTATTGAATATGGAAGCATTTCAGCTCTGAGAAACCTAAGTGCAAGATAAATGCAACAATGTATCATTGTAAGCCTCTTCGACTATTCTGACTGAAACTTAGATCAACTGAAAGCCAGTTGAATTTGGTATATTGCTGCCATGTTTGGCCTTTCTAAGGAAATAAACATTCTGAGTACTTAAGCGAGTAGAAGGACGCATTTTTATCTGGTAATTTAAAGTAGGTAAAAAAGACTCTACTAGGCAAAATGTTTTAAATGTTTCAGCACACTACTTTCACATTCATAATGACAATGTACTAAGTATTTGTGGTTGATAATAAGTACAGGAATTACATAATTCTGTAAGTCTCCCACTGCCAATTATTAATTCTTGAGGGTTCAGTACAGCTTTACTCGTTTCTTTACCTTGCACACAGAAAACAACAGGTATGAGGGGCGACCTTCACAGAGGACACAATTCCAATTATGTTAGGACCAAGCATCACAGTTTTAATCAATTAACTTGAGCAAAGTACTAATTACCCTTACTACACACTTGTGGTCTGGCTCTTCTGTAATTATACTTTAAAATAGTGATATGCATTATAAGTGCCTTAGTGACTTCCTAATTCCCAAACTCAAAGAGGATTGCATTTTAATTATTCCTGAATTTCCCAACAAGAAGATGAACTATATAGTAATACCAAGAGCCTTACCAAAAATGAAATGACCATAATACTGTTTTAGAAACCCCGAGTTCCTTTGCTGGGGTTTAAAGCTGTAGCCTAAGTAAACAAAGGCAAAATAATCTAGAAAAATATTATTTTTAAAATTGATTATTAAACTAGAATAGGAATCCGACGGTTCCTAAAGCACAATGCAATAACAACACAGTGTTAACTGTCAAAATCTTTTCTGTGAAATTAGAGGATATTGTTCTCGCTCTTCTTTATCTCAGGACCCTGAACAATCAGAGACCTCCTTCTCCAGTAAGGAGCTACCTTTCACAAGTGAGGGAGTAGTCTTAGTGTCTAGGTTAGCCTCTAAAGTTCCTAAGAACATAGGATTGAGAATTATTATACAGTTGGTAAAAGCTAAACTGAATTCCCATTTCTGCCTTGCCTTTTCCCAAGGTTTTCAGTGGGATTACCCACCATCTCATATATATGACCAGAGTGAGGAATAAGCGAGATGTGAAGTTCATGAAATCCTGTACCACAAACTCTTTGCCAGGAAAGCCTGCTCATGTTTGGAGTCACTCAGAAGAGCAATTTCTGATTCTCTCAAGAGACACTGTGAATAATGAACTTTCAAAATAAATGTGTTCCCACAGTAATGTAAGCCAGATGTTTTGTCAGGCTTTTTATATACATCTTCTTATTTAATCCTCACAACAATCCTGAGAGGTGAGCAATGGGATCACTGTTTCATCAGAGAGGAATCTAAGGTGCCAGAAAGTGAAGTGACTCACCGGAAGTCACAGTGCTTACCAGTGGCACAGCCAGGATTTGAACCAACAGAGCCAGAGAGTAGTGGGAGTGTGTGTGTGTGTGTGTGTGTGTGTGAGTGTGTGTGAGAAAGGGACAGCAAGACCACTTAGGTTAATTTTTTACTGGCTACCATTTATTTAACACTTAATATGTCCAATCTGAACATCAGAGCCTCAGAACTTCTATCCACTATGCCACCCTCAGCCCAGTGCCTGGGATATATGGTGACTCTGCAAATATTGATCTTACTTTGGAGAAGTTAAGTGTGTGGTTGCTCAACACAAATTTTAGAAAATAAATCTGGGTTCAAATCCTGGTTCTGATCGTTGGAGGACTTTTGCCAATTTGCTTTACCTCTCTGACCTTTATTTTCCCATCTGGAAAACGGGAATAACAACTCCTACCTGAAAGGGCTTGTTGTTGGCATCAAGTGAGAAGACTTTCAAATTAGAAGTCAAATGACATAACCACTGACCATCGCACCTGATCCCCTGGCTTGGGTTTGCCACCTTCTGTGAAACCTCCCATGGCTCCACACATGCTCGTATTTCCTTTCTGTGACCCAGGCATTGCCTGTGGCTTTTTGATGGTTATACACTGTTTTCCATTTTATGTTACTGTTTTGAGTTGGACTTGTTTTAACCCAACAAACATGTTAAACTTCAATAAAATCAGAGATCATATCCACTCTCTAAATCTTCCACAATTCTTAGCATAATGTCAAACATTCATTCATCCATTTATACATTCATTCCTTCTTTAGACAGTCCCTGAATTCCTACAATGTGCCAGCCTCTGTGACAGATACAAAGGGCAGAGCAGTGAGCACACCTTGCAGAGACCTTGGCTTCCTGGGGTGTGCAGCAGAGTAGGAATGTGCCCAGTCTGACCACAACTGCACTTACAAACCACATGCAGTGTCTCGCAGAAAAAGAACCAGGTCATTTAGGATCTAAATTAGGCATGCTGAATTATGAGAGAGGCATGCTGGAAGACCTGACACTTAAATTTAGGAGGAGTAGTAGAACTAGCCAGGCAAAGAATGAGGGGAGAGACTTCCAAACCGAGGGCACAGCCTGTGTTAAGAGCCTGAGTAGGAAAGACTCTGTACATTGGTGTCTATTCACAGCCCCATGTGAGGAAGGAGGAGACCAGTGACAGAAGTTGCTGGAGAAGCAAGGGGCACCAGATCACATAGGCACATTGATGGGATCAGATCGCATCCCAAGGGCAGTGCAGTGGGAGGCTTTTGAACAGAAGCAGTAGGTGTGTAATAAATACTATTTTAGTTAAGTTGCCAACATCCATCCTGAGTTTTATTAAGTAAGGGAAAACGTCCAAGTACTTAGAAAGTAAAACTAGGGCAGTCTCTGACTTCATGGTTTCCTTTGATTTTTTCACAGAAGACCTCATGATACTTATTTTTCCATGAAAGGTCAACAAGGTCAGTAAGACTGTGGACTCAAACCCAAAATCCAACATTCACCTTAGACAATGTAATCAATCAGTTAACATACAAGATTCCTCATCCTGATTTGATCCCCTTGTAACATAAATGTCAAAAACTAAATGGTCAATATTTCAGACGCTGTGGTTCATGACATTTCTACTAGAAAATCAGGCTATTTTGGATCTTATGGGTTTTTTTTCTTTTCTCCTTACCTGCTTCATAGGACGGAGGGAACCAATTGTCTTCCATCCGCTGAATGCTGTCCAATTTGGGATCTCATTAGGCTCGAGTAGGATCTGTTTTCCTAAGAAATTAGATCCTTCATAAGCTATCCACCTACATAAAAGCAGGGAAAAAAAGTTTTAAGAGTACTTAAAAACAAAAAGCAATCTCTTATCAAAAACACCATCTTGTATACAAGATTCATTCTCTAAAACTTCTAGGTTTGTAGATCTTGTAAGAAAATATGTGTAACACTTTTTTAACAGAGGGCAGGAGGGACTAGGAGAAAGGCCTTGCACTGGGCTCAGAAGGTTTGCATTCCACTTAGGATTCTGGTTTCCTTCTAAAACAAGGTTCCCTCTGGGTCTAAAATTCTGTGTTTCTTTGATGTTGTCTGTTTTTGGTAACAGTTTAACATTCAAAGACAGACCACAGCCTCTCCCTGTCACCAGTTACGCACACTAGGCTACTCTCCCATGCGTAGGGTCATTGCCAGGTGTCCTTCAGGGCCTCTCTAGGCGGTTCCAGGGACCTCCCAGGCACACTCCTTCTACAACTTCTCCAAGGCCATCTAGGGCAACTGAAAATTATCTATAGAAATCCACTGTCTTGCTTTCAGGCCCAGCTCTGTTGCAAATCCTTTTCAGTACCCTTAGGGCCTCCAACTTGGGCCAAGTTAAAGCATATAGAAATATTCAGAACCTTGAGGGGAGTCTCAAGACTTAAGTGGCTGCATTCCTTCTTTTATTGACTTACACTAGGTACTTTTACTCCACAACGGCATGGTGAATAGTTGTGACTCAGGATGGCCAACTGAAATCATCATCTGGTCCTTTACAGAAGTTTGCTGAGCCCTGATTTAGCTGAACTAGCTCAGGGTTATAATAAACTGGGATTGCCAAGGGGCGCCTGGATGGCTTAGTCGGTTGAGCGTCCGACTTTCGCTTGGGTCATGATCTCGCGGTTTGTGGGTTCGAGCCCCGCATCGGGCTCTGTGCTGACTGCCAGCTCAGAGCCTGGAGCATGATTCAGAATCTGTGACTCACTCTCTCTCTGACCCTCCCCTGCTCACGCTGTCTCTCTCTCTCTCTCCTAGAAATAAATAAAACATTAAAAAAAAAATTAAAACTGGGATTGCCAAGAAGATCTGAAATTCTCAGGACTCGAGGTCACCACGAACAGGGCTTTCAGAAAAAAAGCATGGAAGATGAGGTGGCTACCTTGCCCGGTTCAAACAAAGCACTCTGCTCCCCACAATCAGGGTCAGGCTTGGCCTGATTTTTCATGGAGAGATAAATAGGATGTTTGACCTTCCTCTGCCCCTTCTTGCCTACACAAATCTGAACTATGGAGAGGCTCATCTACCTCTCCAGCTGTGCAGACTTTCTAAAGAGGCAGGGAAGTTTCAGTTATAAGGCAAGACTTGAATAAACTACACCTCAACACATATTAATCTCAATGGATTCTATGGCTGAAAAGCATAGAAGCTTGACTAATTGGAGATATGGGATAACACAGGGATCAAGTGAAACAAAACAAAAAAGGCGTCAACAGGGCAGCGGCCTGTGCATTCAGTCCTGTTCTCAGCCATTTGCAGCACAGGAAACCCTTCAGACCGCATTCTCTATTCCTTACTCTGTGTACTCATTCTCTCATAGAGAATCCAGAACAGGGAGGTAGGTAGATAATAAGCTAAAGAGAAGACATAATGTCAAGGTAAAATAGCACCAGCTTTCTACAAAAGACTGAAATAAGAAATTTTAAGAAATTACAACAGGTGAGTCAGTAATTATCAGTTCCACTTAGGAATGTAAAGAAAAGTGTAAAAATTCTGTGAAAGTCCTATATCACAGGATGTAGAATTCAAAAGACTTAGTTAAGTGGTAAATGATATACCAGTATATAGTATGGGGATTATTATGCAGAGTAAGTCAATTTATGGTTAAGAAACACCAATGTCAAATGCTTTGAAGAAGAAAAATTAAATTGTCTTATATGGGAGTATTCAAAAGCCATTTATAATAGTTGACTTAATTTTCAAATCAACTTATATTCTTGGCTCTCTCTTATGTTATCCCCAGATATTTAAATAAGCAGAGTTTATTAACACACAATTTAAAAGTCATAGGAAATAAAAACAATCATCTTTATATTAATCATCGAGAGCTATGTGTGTTCTTTTAGTTCACTTTTGGTACCAAAACAGCAACAGGGCAGGAGGAGGGGCAGCTTACGTGCCACTCTCCAGGTAGGCCCTGAGAGGCAGATCTCCCGGGAAGCCTTCAGGCCTCAACCTCTGAGCCTCTCACCGGCAGGCCTCTTACCATTTCTGTTCTAAATAAATATGCAAGTTCATACCTAATTTATGTATCTGTCATTTTTCATTCCTTTTCTTAAAGTAGTCTCCCAGATTGTGTAAGTGTAGGCCCCACACAACCGGGATCCAGCCCAACAACCTGAATGGACAGCAACACTGGTGGGTGGTAGGTCCACCAGCACATTCAGCATGAAAGTAAGTCCCCTGGAGAGAAAGCTCTAGAACACAGAGGACATCAAATCAAAATACAATACCACATTTCCAGTCTGATGAACGGTCGGCTGTCTTGGGCCAGTAGTGGTCTCAACCGGTCAAGGCCATCTGGTCTACCTCCTCTAAGACACATGCTCTCAACACATGGCGGCCCTTCTGTCCCAAAGGGCTCTTCCCCAAGACTGCTGCATGCTACTATTTACTGGAGTTAGTCCACAGCCTTATCTCATGTAAACAGAAACTACTCTCATTGCATTTAGAGAGAGGAGTAATAGCATCTTCAGACCACACAACGATAGCAGTGGAGAAATAAAAAGCAACTATTGTTGGGGCGCCTGGGTGGCTCGGTTGAGCATCCAACTCTTGATTTCAGCTGAGGTCAGCACCTCACAGTCATAAATTCAAGCCCTACATGAAGCTCTGCACTGACAGTATAGAGCCTGCCTGGAATTCTCTCTTCCCTTCTCTCTCTGCCTCCCGTGCTGGTGCTCACTCTCTCGAAAATAAATGAACATTAAAACAAAAAAGAAAAAAAGAAAAAAGCAACTGTGCAGCTCTCTCCTAAAACAGTAAGTGAACCAGGCCAAACCTCTGTCCCATACTTACAGTCCACTTTTTACCCATACAGACTGGGTGTAGAAGTGCAGGTCCTTGTTCAGAACAGAGTTCACAGCCTCTTCTAGATGTAACTCTCTTCCTTCACAGTGTTCCAGAGCAAAAAGGCTAATGGAGGGTTCTTCAAAAACCTAACAGCAAAAAAAGAGAAAGCATCACCACATAGGTGGCCATACTCCAGTGACCTCCCAGTCAGAACACGGGGCACCCTGGATCCACTGTAATCTCGAATGTATACAGTTTACTGCTCCACCCTCTAATGATATTATAGTCAAAACTGCACAGGTGAGACTAAATTTTACTCATTTTTGTTTGCTTTTTAATAAATTAAAATTGAAGTTTCAGAACAGCAATCTTAGTCTCATAATGAAAATGGACACTTGGTTCCAATTAAGGTCTGGTTGTGCTGTAATAGGGACACTTTGGTCCTGTCAATGCTTTCAGCTGGTAACAGGATAAACATGGAATGGAATGGCACTCTCCTTTCCCCAGAAAGTCACAGGAGCAGTCACCGAGAACACAACACTTGATGGCTTCACGCTCTTAAACACATTCTTAGGAGGAAGAAAAAGGCATTCTGTTTTCTTTTTTTGAAAGAGAAAGAAGAGAGAATGGGGAGAGGGGCAGAGGGAGAGAGAATCTCAAGCCGTCTCCACACTTAGCAAGGAGCCCAACATGGGTCTCTCAATTCCATGTCTGCAAGATCATGCCCTGGCTTGAAATCAAGAGTCAGATGCTGAAGCAACTGAGCCTCCCAGGCACCCAAGAAAAAGGCATTTTTAATTTAATAACAACAAAAACCCAGAATGCACAGGGGCAGGAGTGATTTCTACATTCAATCTAAGTATTCCCCAACCCCTTGTATCAGAGAAAAACAGAACCAATTTTGCTTTTTTTCACTCATTGGTATATGCAAGTCACCATGCTACAGGACTCTTCAGGGATGAGAAGACAAAGCAAGGTACCATCCTTATGTTTGGGGCATTACTAACTAATAACTAAATTTGGAGAATGGCACAGATATTGAAATGTAATCCAGGGTAGAAAAAGGATATGCCCTGTGAAAGTTCTCAGAATCTAGAAGACGTGATGCGTTTTTAGCAGAAGGGAGCAGGGGTGAAGGAAGCTTCACAGAGGTGGATGCTGTGGTATGTGAACTCAGTCTTCAAGAATGCCATGGAAGGGGCGCCTGGGTGGCTTAGTCGGTTAAGCATCCGACTTTCGCTTAGGTCATGATCTCGCGGTTCATGGGTTCGAGCCCCGCGTCGGGCTCTGTGCTGACTGCCAGCTCAGAGTCTGGAGCCTGTTTCAGAGTCTGTGTGTCTCTCTCTCTGACCCTCCCCTGCTCAGGCTGTCTCTCTCTCTCTCCTAGAAATAAATAAAAATATTAAAAAAAAAAAAAAAAAGGATGCCATGGATTTGGACAGGCCCAGAGAGAACAGACGGAAGGCACTCTATATGAAGGAAGGGAGACAGAAATGCATGGAACATGTTAAGGGAACAGCAAATAGATCCATATGGCTAGAACAGAGGCCAACAGGAAACTGTCAAGTACCCCCACTGTTTGCTAGGAGGTATTGAATTGTCTGCTTCTCCTTGCCACTGACAGGGCAGAGACAGATTTATTGCCAATGGAGAGTCCTTGAAGGATTCTGGACAGGGGCCTAGGAAAGGATCTGTAATTGGTACATGAGAGGCAGAGCACTAGAAGCAGGGAATGTCGATGTTCAAAGAACAGTAAATAAACAAATGACTTTGTGTAAGAGCAAGATGAATTATGAAAGCACTATTCTTTGCAGCAGTGTCTGGAATAACAAAGGACATGGAACAACTTAAATACCCATCAAAAGGAGACTGCCTAAGTTATGGTACATTCATAGAGAAATGCAGCTGTAAAAAAGAATAAGGAGATCTTTATGAAAGATCTCCAAGATATATTCCTTAGAGGCAAATACAGTGAAGAGTAATGTGGAATAGCACACTTATTCTGCTTCCACTTGTGCAGAAAAGGGAAAACTTATGCACATGCCTACATATAAGGTGCACGTGTACACATGAACAATTTCTTTAAAAAAAAAAAAAAAGAAAGAAACTGCTCCATGACTACCCATTAGAATAGGACCTGAAAGATGAAGGACACAAGTAGGAGCCAAGGTTCTGACTACATGCCTTTTGTACTTTTTGACTTCTGAAGTATTATTAATTCAAAAATTTAATTTTTTAATGTTTCTTTTTTTAATGTCTATTCATTTTTGAGAGGCAGAGTGTGAGTGGGGAATGGGCAGAGAGAGAGGGAGACACAGAATCTGAAACAGGCTCCAGGCTCTGAACCATAAGCACAGAGCCCAACACAGGACTCGAACTGACGAACCATAAGATCATAACCTGAGCTGAAGTCAAGACACTTAACCTGAGCCACTGAGGTGCCCCTCAAAAATTTAAATTGGTGATTATTATGCACATTTTGCATGTATATGTTCTTTTTCTTTTTTTTATTGGGGGGGGGCATACAAGTAGGGGATGGGCAGAGAGAGAAGGAGAGGCAGAGAGAGAGAATCCCAAGCAGGCTCTGCATTGTTAGCTCAGGTGGGAGTCGAACTCATAAACCATGAGATCATGACCTGAAGAAAAACCAAGTCAGATGCTTAACTGACTGAGCCACCCAGGCACCCCTGCATTTTTCTTTAAATGGACCTCAGGAAATCTATCAGACAACATGAGTGAAGCAAATAGAAATGGTAGATGGGAAAAAGCAAGATAGTAAAAGCTCAACAATGTAAGACAAGAGGGATGGTTCTAAGGAAGGAATGAGACGTCCAATCCACTGTTTCCCATCAGGTCAGGACCTCTGAATAGGAATCAGTCCATGAGGGGAAAGATCACTTTGAAAGGATGAACTATGCTTCCTCTGAAATACAAGGAAAGACAGAAAAAGAATGCCAAAGAAATTTCCAGGTTTGTAAAGTTGGTAAATGTGTGAGTTATCTTCTCTTTGCATTATGCGGCAAAGGTTACCTGCTGATGAAGGAAGGTATGAAGCACTGTCCAACAGAACTTGCTGCATATCTGTACTTACCAGCCACATCTGGTCACTGAGCATTTGAAATGTGGCTTGTGTGACCAAGGGACTGAATTTGCCTTAAGTAAATATTAAATATAAATATATTATAAATATCATAAATAAATAAGAAATAATGACATGTGGCTAGTGTATGGTAATGGACAGTACAGATTAAGGGATTAGAGGATACTGGATGAGACAGACCGTCACAATCACTGTGTGCAGTGAGACAGTAAGGTAAGCCTTCAAGGGCTATCCAGGAGCACTGACTTTCCTTCAGCAAATACCATAAACTGGGTCAGGAATACAGCTTCATCTCTAGTTCCTGAGTGACTACAGGTAAGATTCAGCACCTCTTCTGCTATCTGCAAAATAAAAACTGGAAGCAGCCCAACAGTTTATAGAAGACATGTCCTTACAGGAGTCCAGAACAGCAGGTAAAAATAGCAGATTCTAAATTACCCACTAAAACTGGTAACTAAAGATGGACAATGACAATCAAAATCCACAGATAAGCCTCTGCCTTTGTTGTTGGACTTTCTCCAACGTCTTTACCCTTATGCTTTTAAAAAAGCATTTCAGCTTACTTCTTTGTATCTCTTCTGGTTGAGTTACTAACTAGTAAGGAAGGGCAGCCAGGCAAGAAGCCCAGACAGGGCTCACAGTCAACTGTTAGCAACATTCTCCCCAGTGAGGAGTATGATGAAGTAGAATGGCAGATACCTCTATTAAAGGCCTTTAAGGCTGACATACTGTAACTGTTTTAAACCCAAGAGGGAAAAAAATTAAAAGCTTACTAGAAGAATGTAATTTAAATGCTAAACATTATTCTAATAGGACCTGTGTATATTTTTCTTCCTCCTTTTGCAAGATGCATACAAAAACATTTTTATTTTTTATTTATTAAAATTCTTTTAATGTTCTATTTCTGAGAGAGAGAGAGAGAGAGAGTGAGAGAGAAAGAGAGAGAGGGAGAGAGAGAGAAAGAAACAGTCTGAGCAGGGGAGGATAAAAGAGGGAGATACAGAATCTGAAGCAGGCTCCAGGCTCTGAGCTGGCTGTCAGCACAGAGCCTTTGCAGGGCTCAAACCCACAAACCGCAAGATCATAACCTGAGCCAAAGTCAGACGCTTAAGCGACTGAGCCACCCAGGCACCCCACAAACACACTTTTAAAAAGATTGTCATTATCCCTCAAACTGCATCAAATTCACTCTCCAATGGCAATTCTGAATCTAGAAATTTATCTTTGGGAAACTATGTAAAATGCAGAGCAGGGGATCACAAAATATGATTTTAAAACGATGATGAAGGGAGACAGAGAACAAAATTGTAGAGAATGATGGAGACAGTATGTTTAATGAGTTTATGTAAGTCAGTAAAAACAGCCTGTTGCTCCACTAACAGCAATGGGCTATCACCAAGTGGTCCCATTGACGAGACTTCTCATTTAAGAGCATCTACTGTCTCTACACTCACAGTCATCCACGCTCTAGAGGTTTGATCTATTTTTAACTTGATCTTTCGCTCTTTAAATTGTTTAAATGATTTTAATTTTTAAATGTACTTATAGATGTGCTTGATTTATAAATATACTTAAAGGTTACGAAGGTAAACGTAAGTGCTAATGTGGACAGAATGGTGGAAGGTGGTAGATAGCTAATCGTTCAGAAATAAAGAATGCTGAAGAACTACTTCAAAGTCCTATTTTTCTGATACATTTTCCAGATATGAAAGTAAGAATATAAACTATTAATAGTCCTCAAAACTGCAGATGAGAGAATAACCTAAACTTTCCAAGGACACCAGAAAACACCAGAGTTTAACTACAATTTGAGCTCTACAAATGTCTTGGCCTCAGTCCATGTTGACATGGTTACAAGACGGCCAACCATTTGGGGCCAAAGGCTCTTCTTAGGTGTCAACAGTAACAGGACATTCCTGCTGGGTTAAGTTTAAGCCAGATAAAAATCAGTTTCTAAAAGAAGACCATAATACGAAAGAAAAAGAATACTTGAACAGATTATATAAGATAAATTTTAAGAAGAAAAAACCTCTACCTCATCCCATC